TAAGTTAGTTACCTCTAGAGGCATTGAGTATCGACAAGAAAATTAATGTATATTTCAATATAATTTGAATAAAGGTATAAACCATCTGTTTAAAAAAAAATAAAAATAAATAAATAAATAAAGGTTATAATATTATAAAAATATTTTATATTTTAGTAAAGATTAAAATATTAGTTTTTTATAACTTGATAATATTATTTTTATTGATATAAATAATAATTGTTATTATTGTTATATTAAAAAATTAGTTTAAACAAGTTTAAGTTTTATTTTAAAGTTTTAATAAAATCTAATTATATAATTGAGATAAATTAATTTTAATTTTTTAATTAAATAAAAATTTTAAAAGTTTTGAAATAATATAATAAGTATTACTATAATAAACCTATTTGTAAAAATTATATTAAAACAAACTATAAATTCAATAATATTATTTAAATATTAATATAAATAATTTCTATAATATAATAAAAATAAAAAAAATCATTAAAGAATAAAAAAAATTTATTATGAATCTTTCTTTATATAATTAATAGATAAGCAAGACTTTCAAAAGATTTTATATAAACTATTTTTTCTTAATAAAAATTATTATAAAAAATATTTTTTTATCAAAATAAATATAATTAGAAAAGTCAATTAATTATTTTTTTATATTTAATAAATAATATTTTATAATAATAAAAAAATAAATTTTAAATTATTAATTTTATTTTATTTAATAATTATTTATTATATTTGAATTAATTAAATTTTTGTAAAAACTTTTATTATAAACTATATGTATAATTTAAAAAATTTTATTATAAAAAATATTCTTTAAGTTAGAATAATCAAAAAAAAAAACAATAATATTTATACAATAATATTTATGCAATTAATATACATATACAATAGTATTAAAAAAAATTATTAATTATTAATTATTAATCTAGTTAACAACAGTTTTCCTATTTTTTTCTATCGGATATATATAACAAAATGGATAGAACCATGCACATCATTTATGAGATAACATAAATTTGCATATCTTATGTAATTCATGAAAATAAGAAAAGGAAGTTTATAACAGGTTTTACGAAATCACCGTGTCACAAAATAAAGGTACATGTCCGGGTTCCGATTCTAATTTTAACCATGCATTTACTAGTCGTGCAGTAACATAATTACTAGTTCAAACAGCATCACGCAATTATTTATAGTCTTAATATTGTAAGCACAAAGGATAATTGTAGTATACACGTAACGATAATAATCCTACTGCATTTTACATCGAATAATATTGTTTGGTTTAGAATATACACGTTGAGAAAAATACTAAGGGTATTTAATTGTTAACTGTTACAGTATTAGCTCACAAAGAACTGCGGCATTTTTAATAAATTTTAATATAGAATAATTTACGAGTTAGAATAATTTTGTAATGTGTGTAATAATCATACATCGTAGACAAAAAGACAGTTGATTCATTTCATAGATTCCTTTTAATTGCACCGGAAATAAGAAAAAAGAAATTTTTTTGCGAGAATATTTATTACGCATATATTTATTTCTTGGCGTAATTAAAGACACAATCCGTCGGATACCGTCGTATTTTCAATTTGAACGGATATTCAAGATTGTCACAATTGCTTGTTCTGGAACATATTTTATCTTGAAACATCCATATTGTTAGGTGTTTTTTTATATTTGAACAGACACCGGACTGAACATGTGGCACCCTCGTGTGACCTTGACTCAATAAGCCCAATTTTTGAAGAACAATCCCCCCAGATATTTGCAGTAGCTTTATTTTACTGGTACTGTATATTACAAAGTTCCCGTTATGTGCTTTGTTCACCCTCAGGTACTTTTTAATCCATGAACTAGAACCCTTTTGGTGCTCACCTTAGCCCTTTTTAAACCCACCCCGTTCCCGTTGTTGAATTTTAACCCAAGTAGACGCTTAACTTTAATAATAGACAGGAACCTCTTTTTACCGCCAGCGGAAAATATTTCTCTCTCAGTTTCCCATCTCAAAAGATCACCAAGGAGCTGTGCAGCCTTGAAATCTTCACTCTCAAAGCCATATATCTTTTGTTTGACACAAATTATATTGGCTTCTTATCCCTTTTACTATTTTTATTTTTAGACAATTTTTACTTCTTTTCATTCGCTTAGACTTCTTCACATCCAGCTCCTTTTCTTTATTCCTTCTCTTTCTTCGCAAAACAAAAAAAAATAATCTAAAAATGAACACAGTAGTAGAAAACACAATGAAGACCCCAGCAGAGCAAGTCGACGAGCTCAAATATTGGCTAGCTACTGCACCAGTAAACTGGGAGCCTGACCAGAATATTCGCCGTTATCTTCTTCCCACTGGTGAATATATTTCATGCGTCCTCTGGAATAGCCTCTATCATATAACAGGTACGGATATTGTACGAAGTTTGGTGTTCCGCTTTCAAGCTTTCGGTAGACCCGTAAAGAACATAAAGAAGTTTGAAGAAGGAGTGTTCAGTGACCTACGAAACCTGAAGCCTGGCATGGATGCTTCTCTTGAAGAGCCAAAATCAGAGTTCCTTGAAATGCTATATAAAAATAACTGCATACGTACACAAAAGAAGCAAAAAGTGTTCTACTGGTTCTCCGTACCACATGACCGTCTATTTTTGGATGCACTGGAGCGGGATTTGAAACGAGAAAAAATGAATATTGAACCTACCACAGTTGCCGAGGCAGAGCCCGCCCTTTCTTTCTCGTTTGACTCTACGCAATCACTATATGATCAATTTGCTAAGGGAATATCACCTAATTCATCTGCGTCCTCTTCACCGCAACTACGTAGCCTAATGTATGACGCAGTTCCTCCAATAGAACCTGCAATAATCAAGACTGACGACCCATCAGGCGTATTGTACTCGCTTGACCAAGAATCGATGGGTAATTCGAACTCTGCTCAGTCTTCCTTAGGCACACTTGCCTTGTTCCAACAGATTCAGCAGTGTGATCAAGCTTTGGTAAAAAGTCAAATGTATCCATCTCCGGACCTAAGTTATTGTTCGATGGATGAGCTTTCGAAAGGGTCATTCGAGGCCAGTTCACCTCAAGAGTATTTCGTTTCTGATTCTCCATGGAGTACCTCGACCTTGGAGGACCAATATGTGGATAGTCGTCACTCATCACCCGACGGATTCTCTCAAGCGATTGTTCCTTCATCAAATGCCTATAGTAATAATTCTAACGCTGCTGCAACAGCTGCCAATCTGTTCGGCATGTTTTCCATTTTCGGGGGTGCGCCTACCTACAAACAAAGGAGACGACGTGCAAATTCGTGTACAAATGTAAACGCAAACAATGGAAACAACTCGCCTCCACACCGATCAAATGCTACTCCATATCCTCTCAAAACTTACACATGCCCACTTCAAACGTGCGGTCGTCTATTCAAACGTCTTGAGCATCTGAAGCGTCACGTTCGTACACATACCATGGAAAGACCTTATTCCTGCCATGTATGTGGAAAGAGGTTCTCTAGATCTGACAATTTAGCACAGGTCATATAAAAATCATTTTTATTAATAAAATAAAAAGTTTAATATATAACAACTATTCCTTAAGTAATTTTTCATTTATTGGAGAACTGTATACTCTATAGGTTACATATCAGAGTTTATACAAATTTATGCAAATTTATATAAATTTTAATATCAAACTTTAATAAATATTTATAAAATGGTTTATAAAAACATTGAGTATTCAAATATTACTCTCAGTACATAATTTATTTAATATCGTATGGTAGAAAAAATACAAAATGTTTTTTAATTACGCAATATTATTGTTGATCCTGAGACCAAAACATTTTACAATACAAATTAAACATAACGAATACAATAATAAATTATTATGTAGATATCGCTTGGTATTGAAGTGGAAATAATGACAAGTGGACAGATTTTTAGTACATGATCTATAAAGAAGGCTACTCAGAAATACTAAAAAATCTCAGCTCTTCTTACCACAATAAAATTTCTAGGTATTCACATCTATTAAATTCTAAGAAATTAAATATTAACTTATAATCTGAATAAAGTATCTAATTTAATTTATAGATACCTTCCATTACAAGAATAAAAATTTAAATACCATATATCGAGATGTTAATGATGAGTTTATACTATCCCCGTTCTATGCGCCATCACTACTCCTATAATGGCGAATATCAACAACCCTGCCAGTATAGAGATGAACCAAGTCAACCCTCCCGCTTCCTGTCCAGGGACTTGTACATTCATTCCCCATAAACCTATAGCATGGAAGAAATGTTTAACACGTACTCAATTCGAAATTGTAATATGGCTTGATGTCAAAATTAAATACCTGTGACAAGGTTCATCGGAATTAATATTGTGCCTAGCGCAGTAAGACGGGACAAAATATCATTGATCTGGTTGTTAGCCTGTGTCATTTCAATGGAAATTTGAGCTAAATAATTTGAGTGGGAACGAGAGAGTATCATTTCATAGTGATTCAAATTTTGGACCATAGTAATAATGTGATCTAAATTTGATGCGTGTAAGTAATGATAGTTCACTGGTAAAAATTAATTTTATTAGACTAAAAAATTTACCCTGTATGTCACCCATGTATAACACTATTTCGTTGCTGATGACAACATCCCACTTGAGATCACTACATCTTTTAATTAACCCTTTCATTACATCGGCCTTATTTCCCAAAAGCCTTAACAAACCTAAAACTTTTTTTCTACAATGACCAATCCGACGTAACATGTCGGTTTGTTCAGATTCTTTTAAAATTAAAACTAATTCATCAATCGAATCGACTTCAAACTCGATAGTACGGATAAGTGGGGCAAATGAATCAGTAATATCGTCGATAATTGCATAATTAATCCAATCTGAATATCACTTAATGATGTTAATATTGTTATTTAAGTTTGGGGAGGACTATTAATTTAAAAGTAATCATACCGGGTGTAACCGTAATATAATCTTTTAATTGTTTTATGCGTCGTCTCACATTCGAAGGATGTGGCGTTGGTCGAAAATGGAACTGATCATGTGATAAAAATATGATTTAGTCTTTTTTTTTAAATCATCACTGATGAAGAAAAAATTAAACATACCGAAATGATACCCTCTTTCATGACTACCATGTAAAGACTCACGGGTTGCAAGTATGTAGGAGAATAATGATCCTGATCGAATGATCGGAAACAAATAAAATAATATTCTTTGAATAGCTCGCACTTTTCTCTAGTTTCCTCTATTTCAATGTCCTCAACAGTAAGAGGGTGAATTCCAAAAATCTATAGAATTAACAATTATATAATTTCTTCCAAATTTATTTCAAAACAAAGAAATTTCAACATACCCTACCGAAATCTCGCATCTCTGTATCAGTCGGTGATAGGACATCAATCCACCAACATCCGGCTTTCATCATGTCCGAAAGGGTTAATCCTGCTGGTGGAACTTCAGATAATGACCGAGCATGCACAGTGCTATATGCCGTCGAATAAAATGTGTACCGATATGTGGATTCAGATGGGTGCTAATGCGAATAATATATAAATATTTTTTTTATTGAGACATTAACAATCAATTAGTCTGATTTCACTATTATATGATGACAAATATATAAACCTTTTTGTCCAATCCCTCGTAAGCATTATAACTTGTTCCCGATGATTTCCTTGTGAATGCTGAGGCAGGTTCGCTCAACCTTCTCTGTCTCCTTCTCTGTTCTCTCTTACGTTTTTCATTTTCTGTTCTAATGTGATCCTCAAGTGCTTCATAATCTATTCCTTTTTTTGATGCGGCTTCTATCATAGGAAAACAAACGTCTGTGTTTACTCTGGATTTACGACGTGATGACGTCATTGCTGTTGCACCGTTCTCCGAGTCGGTTTCATCATATGAATTGGTCTCAAAGTTAAGATCGGTGTGATCTTTATTATTGCTCACATTTACTACATACTCTTGGCGAGGATTCGTTTTTGATTGGATTGCTGCGTATTGCCTCTCCAGTGCATCCACTCGTTCTGGTGAGGCATATCTTTGTCCCAGTAGAGGAACCTCCTCGCTGATTTCTGAGTCTTCTTCGGTCGACCTGAAGTCAACGCGCGAAAGTCTCGGAGTTTGGTCAGTTACTGTGCTTTCAGAAGCAGTTGGACCTAGGGATTCGACCGACTGATGGTATGACGATGTAGCATAAATTTTTGGTGAATCATCACCATTTCTTTGAAGAGATCTCTCTGGTGAATCCATTAAGAGTACGACTTAAATAAAAAAATTTTTATCTCTGTTTCATATAATTTAGTTATTTGGGTTGGCGCACTGGATCAGAAGAAAAGTTGTAAAACGCTGACTAAAGTTGCTCTATTTATAAGAGACTACTAACATTACGTAGATTTACTGTTTATTTTTAAAAAATACATAGCACATGGGTATGTAATACATCTTATAGAATCTATAGATTATCTTACCTGTAATTAGGGCCTGATTACATCTGACAGCACATGTAACTAGAAAATATCCGAAAAATAAAATTTTAAAGAATTTGTATTTATAAAAAATATTTTTACTCCTAATCAGACTGCACAATAGTGTTTTATTAAATAAGAATACAGTAATACAATATAATATACTACTTTTTTTTTTTTTTTTTTTTTTCCCTCAATCAGGTTGGTGTCATTTATTTATTAAATCAAAATGAACCATTACAAAT